AATATTATTTCTAATTGAATCAGTAAGAGAAAGTAACAATGCAGTTGTACTGAAACCACGACGGAAAGCAAATTGAGATTCATAAATCCTCGATCTTATAGAAAATAGTATCTGATCATTAACCAGATTTTCAACAACTTTAGATAAAGCGGGCAAAATAGAGATATGTCTTAGGTCATCAACGTTATTCATAGTTTTCGATTTTGGAATGGGTACAACACGCGCAGTCTTCCAAGAGACCGGGAATTCAGACGTCATAAAAATATGATTAATAAGATTCAGTAAAAGGCTAGAAACATGTGGAAAAATTTGTTTTAGAAATCTTATCGGAATGAAGTCAGGAGACGGGGAGCTCTTTTTCTTCTTAAGTTTATTCTCAGTTGTCAACTCTCAGTTCATGAGGCTCTATTTCATTCTTTTTGGGATTTGCTATTATGGTGTTATTATCAGCTAAGCATTCAGAGTCGGAACCTTCACCTTTATTTAAAGGCTGAGGTAGCATAGAGCCCCTATGTTTTTGCCAATGGCATGCTGTCCACTTGACATATTGTCCGCCACGGAGGCCAAGGTACCCACCTTCGTAGTAGTCTTTTGCTCACGATCGCAGGATGACGATGACACAGATCAACATTTCCGCCGGTTCTGAGTTATTTAGGCCTTGCACTGTAACTTTTATATTATCTTTATTTTCCATATTTGTCTTTTCCCAGTTTCTGTCCCAGATGGTGGACAGTCTGCCCTCCCTCAGCTTAAGTGAAACTATAACTGGGAGATGATAGATTGTCCATCACCACCACTATCCACTACCCGGGGACAAGCTCGATAGGAAAAACTGGAAAAACTCCCCCGAGTTTTATTATATATATCAGCGTGCAATAGTCATTTTCACACACGAAAAAATCTATGTGTACAGGAAACTGTGGACCATTAGTATTAACTAAGTGTACTCAGTTTTTCATAATCAGCTCTTATGCCCCTGTAAAATGACCTTAAAATTTAAAGGACTACGATTTCAAAAGAGGGAATTCCAAATTTATGTAAAAAATTTGGTATTTACATTATCATCAAATCAAACTGAGAACCTTTGCTTCAAAATAATATTATTTATTTCAATTAATCAGGATTAAAAAAGAAACGGAAACAAAATTTTTTTTCACAAAAAAGTAGTTAAATATTTTTTTTTGAAAATGAGGCCTATTTTAAATTTATTTATTTTTTCGATTTTTTGTCTAAATGAGTCAAAAAAATAATACAGATAGAATGTACAGATTCCCAGCTTTCATTTCATATCAATATTAGCATCATACAGAACATATAAATATTTAAAATATCCGTTTGAAATTGTAAGTCCTTTAAACTTTGAATTCCTTTTGTAAGGACATAAGAGCTGATTATAAAAATCGAAATACGCAGAATTGCTATAAATGGAATCTAGTTTCACATGCATATCAATAACGATATTCATGAAAAATTTGGAAAAAAGTCCATTATCTACTAAACTGGTTTCATGTTCAGTGAATAGTAATCGTTTATTAGCGAATTTTGTATAATATAAAAACAGAAATTGATATGTTGAAAAACAAAATCTAAAAGCGGAAAACATCAGCAAACATAGTTAAACTTATATTATTCATAAAATCCAGCCAATTACGCGAACATTTTATCGATTTTAATCTAAAAATCCAAAGAAAATTTCAAACATTTTTAACAAAAAGCATGATAAAAATTCAATAAAAATTTAAATAAATGTTCAAAAAATAAAAATGCATTTGAAGAAAAATGAGCAACCAAAACTATAAACTTCCTGTTAAGTCCTATATCAAAATAATTGTCTGTTGCTGTCCGTATCAAGAACGATTGCAATTAGTGCTCCACCCGGTCCAAGTGAAAAAATTTAACATTCATGAAACCTTTGATATGGACACCATTATTATTCGAGGAAATGAGTGACATCATTTGGATTGCAAAATATAAAAGGCCTTAGGGACAGATCTTGATGTGAAGGTTACCAAGATACTTATAGGACTTAAATGCATTCCATGGATTCTGATAGGCATTCTAACGGGTAGGAATTAGAGAGATCGAGAATATAATTTGCCACTGTCCGAGGACACAGAATATTAGTTTGAAATAGCTGGTGAAGAGGTTCCATAACAAACTGGAAGAAGTTGCGGGATTTAACCCCCGGAGGGACTAGCTTTTATCATTCGATTGGAAGATTAGGATTATCTCACGTTTCTTTAATTAGGGAATTGGCTCGATAAATCTTCTGGGCTGATACGCCATGAGAATGGACCACTTTCAATTCATCAATCCTTTCTATCTATTTTATTTCTTTCTTGTTTTCTTTTAGTGTTCTTGTTTCTCCGTCTTTGGATCTTCAGCCTCTTTGAAGGGAATCACCTTATGGTCTCAGAGTGGATGTTGTCCTTTTTATGGCACATAATCCTTCTTAACTTAAACCTAATGACTTAATTACATTGCTTCAAAACCCTTTCAAATGATAACATACATTGCATACAATTTAAATAACAAACCAAACCAATATCTTTGTAATTCGGCACATCTCAACAACAGTTACCTCTGGACCTAAATTATTTAAGTAGCAACATAAATTCCACAATCACAACACAAATTTCTTGAAAACTATTTTTCCCTTTTTGCATACATGGCAACGACGTTCTATTTATTTACAAAATACGAATTTCAAAAAATACCAGCAAACTTCAAAACGTTTTTTTAAGAGAGAGGAATGACACTACCTTCATATTTTTATCATGACAAAAAGGAAAAAAATGTAACTTAAATTTGAAATATTTTAAGTTAAGGCTTCTAGATTTTGTTTGAAAAAATAAATATGAAAACAAAAATCATACCCTTTAGAAATTTATTCTTAAATATTATTAACTTTAGTTAATGAAGGCAGTTCATAATATTTATGCTGAAACATTTTTCTGTGTACGTGCAAACACTTATTGTAACCTTTTACGAGGTAATATTTCAATATAAATAATTTGAGATTTACGTCTATCCCTAACATGACACGCTTATGTAAATTTCATAAAACCATCTTCATCTTAAAAACTAGAAGACTCATACCACTTTTAAAATATATGGTTCATATGTATAAACAAAACAGAGCTGTAAATGAATCATTCATTTTTAATTAATACGTGAATTATTCTTTCTTTTTACACAAAAATGAATTGAATTTAGTTTGAGTCAATTCCAATGAATTTGGGAAAAATGAATTGCAATGAACACGTTTCCAATTCAAATAAATTTGTAGAATGAATTACAATTCTAGATTTTGTTTGAAAAAATAAATATGAAAACAAAAATCATACCCTTTAGAAATTTATTCTTAAATATTATTAACTTTAGTTAATGAAGGCAGTTCATAATATTTATGCTGAAACATTTTTCTGTGTACGTGCAAACACTTATTGTAACCTTTTACGAGGTAATATTTCAATATAAATAATTTGAGATTTACGTCTATCCCTAACATGACACGCTTATGTAAATTTCATAAAACCATCTTCATCTTAAAAACTAGAAGACTCATACCACTTTTAAAATATATGGTTCATATGTATAAACAAAACAGAGCTGTAAATGAATCATTCATTTTTAATTAATACGTGAATTATTCTTTCTTTTTACACAAAAATGAATTGAATTTAGTTTGAGTCAATTCCAATGAATTTGGGAAAAATGAATTGCAATGAACACGTTTCCAATTCAAATAAATTTGTAGAATGAATTACAATTCGTCAAAGCGAATTGCAATTCATTTCCAACTCATTTGAACTGGAAATGAATGACAATTAATTTTTAGCAAATTCAAATTTTAATTTTCTCAGTTGGCTCATTGGTTGTCAGTTGAAAACTTTATATACGTTTGTGCAAAATCGTGTTTTTTAAGTAATGACACTCTTTAAGTAAATGAGCGATATGTATATATGTATGTACATGTTTAGCATATTCTAGATCAGCTCATTTTCTATTTAATTCATTTGAATTTTCATTTTTTTAATTCATTTGAAAGAATTCAATATCAATTCAATTCACTTAAGCAAATTCGATTGAATTGGAAACGAATTGCAATTAATTTTATAAATTCCTAATTCGTTTGAATTGATTCCAATTTCATTCAATTCTTTTTTGTTGTGAACATAATTAATTCAAAATTTTGGTAATTCGAACTAAACTGAAAATTAATGATTCAATTACAGCTCTGATACAAAATATATTTAAAATAAAAGATTTATTTTTGTTGTCTGAAAAAGGTTTGAAAAAAAGTATAGTTCAATATATTAATACGTTGTTGTTAGTACAGATAATTTCTTGTTACTACAAGGATCAGCAAATATATACATTAGGGATATAACTAATTTGGCGAAATTTTTGGCATACCACCACGAGATGGCCAATGTTGTATAATTATTGAAAACAATTTTTTTATGTCATTTGAAATCAAAAACATCACCCCAATTTCTAATATAAACCAAGTTTTTTTAAATTTTTTAATTTTAAGATTAAAATATTTATATATGGGCATTTCTACCTAGAAGTATATTTTTGTCACATCGCGACTCATCATTGCCTATATCTCTGATTTTTCGCAAATATACTATTTTACATCCCCAAATCAAAAAGTCCATAAAAAGTTATTTGTTGATAATATTTGTTTTGACCCTATCTCCGATTCTTATGGACTGATTTTACTGGTTTTAAACGACTAAATTCTTAAAAGCATATTTAAATTAATTATCTATGATTTGGATTCCGAAGACATATGGAGCCTTCAACTTTTTAACCAACCGCGAAAAAATAATAATGTAGTTTCTCATAGTTTTTAATACTCTATTCGACTATGATATGCCAACTTGCATATTTGTAAAGAACGCAATAGTTATATTCCTAATATATATATGTACATAAGAACAACATAATTACTCATTTTACGAAATATACATATATGTACATATACTTACTTTAATTGTTGGACTAGGTCTGCTTGGTTAACTGCAATTTCAGAAAGTCGAGAAGTCACATAGTTTTTTATTTCATCTATAACTCGATCATAGTGTGAAATATTCAATTCCGAATCATTTTGTAAAGCTTGTATTTTTGCAAAATAAATATGCTCCGTTTCATTCCATAGCGATTGCTCTCGACAAACGAAATTACTTTCACTTTTATTCCATATTTGAGCGTTTTTGTTTAATTTATTAGCATCTACTTTAAATATAAGAACGGTTTGACCAATAAACAGAACTTTTTCCGCCCAACTGGATGACAAATAATGTGGAAGTAATTCATAACATATCTCATATCGCCAAATATCGGTATAGTTGCTGGCTACTTCCTATGTTATTAAAAAAATAGAATATTTTATTGATCATTGCAATAAATTTTATGGTTCATTTTGTCATGAGTCATGGCTAAAAAAGTTTCCAGTAAAACAGCTTTCAATTTTTGATGTTATTTTATTATTCTTCAAATAAATTATACAAAATTTATTGGCTTGGAAGATCACAAAAAATTACGTTTTTGTTCGAATAATTTAATAAAATATAAATAAAATTATTTATTATTTAACTGAAAAACACAAAGATAGTTAGAATTTATTGAAAAAAATTAAGCAAATAAAAATATTTTTTTTTTATATTTTTTGTTTTTACTTAAGATTTTATATTATCTATGGATTTGTTTCATTTAACCTTTAGCTGTTTTGATATGTCTATCAAAATATTTGAAATATTTTTGTTTCGGAATATTTATTTACCGGAAAATTATGAAACGCCGAAAGGTTATTATTTTCCAAAAAGACTATTTATGTTTTATATTTGTGAGAGCAAAACAATAAATTACATTGTGTGCTTCGCTAATCGATGATAAATTAAAACATATTTAATTTAAAAATGTTTCTTCTTTTAGATTCTCATTTACTCATGTATGATTAAAGTAATGTTCCTTGGACCAACATTAGAAAATATGTCAAAAAAGCACCAGAACAATGTGTCAATCAGGACCCTACTTGTATGATTTTATCTCAAAGTTATAGAAAATTCAAAAATACCTGTTGCCAAATGGCTCATCATTTATTAAATTTTTAATTTTATTTAATTTCATTAATGTTCTTTGTGCGTAAGGATTTTTTATATTTTATTAGTGAATGACCTGAATATACAATTTCCTAATGAAATTTATTGTACTACTTGTTTGAAGAGCAAATGTACAACAAAACCATTCTCCAGTTCTAAGAACAAGGCAACAGAATTACTGGAGATAATTCATACGGGCATTTGTGGTCCAGTAAATATAAATGTGGCGCTCGCTACATATTAAGCGGCAACTGACAGTACCTCATACACAACAGAAAGGGGTAGCTAAACGTTTTAATAGGACATTGGTTGAAATGGCCAGAGCAATGCTTGTATATTCTGATGTTGATGTGTCATTGTGGGCAGAAGCTGTGAACATCCCCGCTTATTTAAATCGATCGCCGACATAAGCATTAAACAATTGTACACCATATGAAGTTTGGTGCAATAAGAGGCCGAGCGTCCGACATGTACAATTTTTTAGTTCCTTGGCCATTGTATTGGATAAAACACATCATCATAAGTTCCATCCAAAAAGAAAGCAATACATCATAGTTGGTTATTCCGAAACATCGAAGGCATATCGCTACAGGAAAAATAATCATAAGTCGAGATGTTTACTTTATTGAGAATGATTTTGTAAAGAAATATGTATGAACCTGAACAGCGAAGTAAATCTGTTGACACGAATGTCGAGAGTTTAACGTGAATACTTGCCATGACGGCCTAATTTCACGGTGGTCTTTTTCATCCACTGGGTAACTAGACACGGTCTACCACTCGCCCCTGAATTCTTCAATGAAGAACTCAGGTAGCAATTTTTCTACATGGCTTAGCCGGTCCACGTACAAGCACTTTGTTGAAGAACTCGACCTATCTAATCTCTTGCCATAGTAGCACCGTTGCGGAATGACAGACAGCAGACCAATATTCCCCTGCAGTCAGACTGGGTCCATATATCTTTTTGTCAACAGTACTAGTTCAAATGTCTCCAATCTTTCATTTCTGTGTCAATATAAAAAATACAGAGACCAAAGATGTGGTGTATATCTAGTGGCATTGTCAACAAACATGTCAATATTTCTTAAGAAAATGTCTGTATTAAAACTGAATGGACTCGCGATATAGAAATGTACTAGTAAATTCCTGGTTCTAATGTCACCATATGTATCCATGAGAAGTACCTAGTCAATACCAAGTCAATAGTCATAATGTTACTAGAGGATTTTCAATGACACGCACATGTTAAATGTCAATAGCACTCAGCCTTGTATAGGGTATAATTCGACACTAGTACTACTGACAAAGTCAATAGCGATTCAGCACATTTTTAATATTGACATTTTCTACAGGGTCCATATATTGGAGATTAGTAGTGATTTCCCGATCTTTCACCAATTTTCGCATCAGTTCATTCACATGATCATAAAGATCGCTCTACGGGATGACAGGCAACCATTGAATACTAACCTGACAATTCCCCAGCATATATCGGCGTCCCACTACGCGACCGGTAAGAAATACCGATCGGGTTTAGGAATCTAGCACATGCTGCTTTGTACACAGACCTGTTCGAAGAGAGAATTATCCAACCCATTAGGTATAGGATATATCAGTCCTTAAACCAACATTCTCTCCAGATTATATGGTGCTCGGGTTAGACCCCATGCCAAATCATTCCAAGGCGAAGCCGAGGATACATTTAACATCATCAGTTTATAGCAGAGACTGAAAATAACTGGGCCACATAACCAAAGTGAATGAATTGTGATTTATTTTTGTTTTTTAAAATAAATCACTCAGAATAACAGTTATAAAATGATTTTTACTTAAATGAATTAGTATAACCTTTACTACTTTTGTTTTGTTACTTATGTTTTTGGCTGAGCAATTGGTTTTTGTATTCCTTTTTTCTCTTGCTTATATGAGAGTGGGAGAGTATATTGTTTTTAACAACAAACCAAGCAATAATCAAAATATAACTACATTTTAAAATAAACTTATAATAAAGAATTTTCTACAACACTTCATAAGGATACTTATGATAGGTTTATTTTAATGAAAATTATGAATACTTTTAAAACAAGTAAGAGTGCTATATTCGGCTGTGCCGAATCTTATAGACCCTTCACCACAGTGTATTTAAAAAAATTCAATTCTATAAAATTTTAATTTATTTCATTTTCCCGTTTATACAACGCTTAACGAAATAAACACACACAAAAACAAAATACATAAGGAAGTAAAACCAACAGATATCCAAACATACGAAACGAAATACACAAAAAAACAAAAACAAAATACACAACGCAATGAAACCAACAGACATCCAAACATACGAAACTGAACACACCAAAAAACAAAAACAATATACACAAGGCAATGAAACATACGAAACGAAAAACTCATAAAAAAAGCAAAAACAAAATACTCAACGCAATGAAACCAACAGACATCCAAACATACGAAACTGAATGCACCAAGAAACAAAAACAATATACACAAGGCAATGAAACACACATCCATCCAAACATATGAAACGAATACTCAATGAATAAGCAGTGTTGTTGTTGCTTATATCAAAGCATGAAAAAAATAGTCTTTTTTATGAAATTTTCAGAAGTTGTCTCGGATTTTTGCTCATATCTCCGGTATTTATGGACCAATTTTGCTGATTTTAAATAGCGATCTTCTCGAAAGCATGTCTAACAGAATTATTGAAGATTTGGATCTCGCCGATATCTGGGGTCCTCTAAAAACTGATTTCAACAAACACACAGACGGACAGACAGACAGACGGACATAGCTTAATCAACTCCGCTACCTATAAGGATCCTGAATATATATACTTTATGGGGTCGGAAAATTATATTATAGAAATTACAAACGGAGTGACAAACTTATATATACCCTTCTCACGAAGGTGAAGGGTATAATAATGGTAAAAAAACGCTTCGTATAGCAACAATAATTGCAATAATACTTGCTGTACACTTAGTTATGATAACAAGTTTTACAAATGTGATTGTAAAAAACTAATGATCGCAATAGTTTTGTAATTGTTTTCGTATAAGATATCCCGTTATTTTATTGCGTGTTTTTCTTATTATTATTCTTCCTCATTTCAGTCTTCTTGTTTAGTTTGGCAAAGGCAGTGTTTTTAAGTGTTTAAGAGTGTAATTTTATAAAATAAAGTACTATAAAATTTGTGTTTAAAAAAGGTAATTTAATTAATATATAAAAAATGCCACATAATAAAACAATGTGCTTTTTTTATTTTATAGATGCCGCTTTTTGTATAGGATTGAGGGAGGACGTGTTCATAAAAAGTATAATTGAAAAATATCAATAAAGTAATGAAAAATAAAAAATATGTATGAAACAAAAAAATTATTGTTTTAATTGAATTAATAAGCTTATAAAAATGTTACGAAAATAAGCTTACTCAATTATGTTTCAAAAACTAGTTTTCAGTAAGCTTATTTCATAATTGCGCTTCTAAGCATGTTGTAAACTGCAACTAGGAATATTATCACAAAGGTTCAATTTTCTTGATAAAATAATTGTTAACAAGCCTTTTACAATAATTATCATAATAGTTTTGTAAACCTAACGCTTATGGTAGTAAATTTGTTATAAACGAATTTTAAAGCCTTTTGGTTTGTTGGGTTGTTTACTATGATTTTTGAAGATAGTATGTGTGTATGTATGTCCTAATCGTGTATTTACATTTGCGATTTATTGTTTCGCTTTTAAAAATAAAAATCATAAGCAGACCTTTTAAAAAATGTTTACAAAATTCAATTGTAGCGAGTTATTTTGTTTTTCTTTTCGGTTTCTCTCAACCACTTATCAAAAAAATCTAACATAAAGGTTTCTCTCAGAGATAAACTGCAAAAACACAATTATAAATGGTGATCACAGCAATTAACCTTATAAAACCAGTTCGTGCGAAAATGTTAACCAGGAAAACCGTAAAAACAGTATAATACAATAAACCTGATATGTGCCGAAAATATTAAAGTTCTTGCAACAGTGAACGAAACTTTATCGGATGAGTACTCTCAATATTGGTTAAGTGCGATGGGAGTTATCGGAGTTGCCACATGATCAGAAGGTTATAGAATGTAAGAGGGTATATGCCATAAAGAAGAACAAGGATGGCCTATCGAACGTTCTAAGTCCAGATTAGTTGCTAAGGACTATGCACAAACATATGGCATAAACTATACCGAGAATGGTAATTGCCCATGCAGCGGAA